AGCAAAGAGGCAGGCGAAAATTATTTCATACGTATAAATGTATTCAGGTTAAGACGCCATCTCAAATATTGGCACCTTTTTACATATATATATATATAAGCATTCAGAAGAGCTTTTAATGTCTCCGAGGGTGACCCTCAGGGACAATACAAAGCTAAATTTCTCGTTTGTAAAAAGATGGTTAAGATTTAGCTCAACTAATTCATCACAGACCGTACACGTAGGCGTCCATAGTAACTTGTACTTCATAATACAATAGGTTCATTGGAAATATAGAATGCATCTCCTATATTTAGAACCGAATTAAGCACAAATAGCACACACTGCATTAAATATTGTGCTCAGTGGGCAGTAGAGAATCTCGCTTTTCACGTGTTAGTACGTCAAGTAAAAAAAATTACTATTATATATTACTAGAGCGACAAAAAGGCAGGTATTATACTGCTTGGCTGCTTGTTGAGAAGATGTATTTTTCCTATTAACATCAAGTCTATGATTGGTTCGAGGATTTTGTTTTCAGTAACGTCTACTGAGGATAATCAAAATGAAAATTTCAATAAATAATAAACTTATAGTATAATTAAGTTGAGTAAGCATATCTTCATTGTTTTGGGACGGACAAATTCAGTGGGAAATTGGTTTATTTGCTAGCTGATATTTAGTGCTCTCAAATATAGACCTTACTTATAAAAGCTGGCCGTCAATGATTTTTTACTATGCAGACAGCTTAAGCAGTACCTTCTTTTGAGGACAATTTGTCAATTGACAACAGAATAGCAGTGACTATAAGGACCTATTTTACTTGCTACTTATTACTCGTTGTGATAAACAGGCTCGAGAACCGGCAGGCCGTCGGATTTTATTCTTAAGCAGGTCCAAACAAGTGGAATAACTATTATTGTTTCACCTTACGTCTTAATACGCACCGTAGCTAACATAACCTCGATATAGGTCAGCGTTATGTTCGGCCTACTATTCTTATGAAGTTTTCTAAAACTTCGAAATTGCCTGCTGGGTATCGTACTGCAACTCAATGGGCCTGGCTTAAATGACACTACCGCTTTGAAACGTACATCCTAATGCTTGGCCGTAGGCAGTTGCCCTACTAGGCTATGAACGGGATCGAAACCGATAAAAAAATTGGTTTTGGCGGTCCACGAAATTCAACGATTTGTATAAAGTGGTTAATCTCACATATTGTCGTTTCGTTCTCTTTTATATTGCAGACATCCCTCGTTTTTAGAAAACCACGAAGCTAGAAATACGAATTTTTGCAGCACTTATCGCATAATCTCGGACTAGTTCCAATAGAGACCGTATCTAAATTAGCGCATTTTTCAAGCTTTATATCAATCTGCTGCCCACGTTATCATATGGAAGAAGACAGCAATATCAGTTGAGACAGTACGATCTTTATCAACACAGATTAGCTTACATATCAGTATATAACACTATATTATTGACAACTGTCCGTGCATAATTATGGGAGAAAAGAATGAAATAAATAATGTATTGACAAGAAATTATATTCTTGTGTAACCTCCCCCTGCTTGCTTCTAGTACGAATGTTGGCTAGCTAATTACTTGGTATTATTATTTCTACTAGCAAACAATGAAAATCATTTCTAGGCTACAGCTTTCAGATCATATTTTTCCTCGTGCTTTCACGGCGAAAGCTGTAGCGGTACCATTAGAGCGGTATAAATAGGCCGGTTTGTATTGCACAGTGTTACACCAACTTAACTGCAAGTACGTATACAATACTTGGACTCTCGAGTAGAGCAAGTCCCATGTCTGTACCAGCGTGAGAAGTTTCCAGTTAGTTCTCGTTCCAGCCTTTACACTACAAGCCACCCGACTACTTAGTGATCCCAATTATAATTCTGTTTCATCATTTTATTTCAAACGTCAGAAATGAGCTGCCGTCGCATCCATCCCCGCTGCTGGTGCCTGGTCGCCAGCAGCTTGCCCTCGTGGTCGACGGCTGCAGTGGTGTCGGTCGACGGCAGGGGCAAACTGTGTTCTCCTCCGCAATGCAGCACTGTCAGCGCGATGAAGAGGAAAAAGGAGCGGCAATGATAGCAGCAGTAGGAAAAGCCCAGCTCAGGCTTCACAGCCAGGCACAACAGCCGGAGCAGTCGCAGGCAGAGCCGCCCGTGAGACCTTTCGCACAGACTAGCTGGGATGTCTGCCTGGCTGGGTTGGGTCGACGAAGCTTTGAGGAAGGCTTCGTTCGAAGGACTTGAGGATGTGCTCAGTCGCTAGTTCGCACCAAGCCCTAGCCCGCCTGCCTGCCTGCCTGCCTGAAAGTGTAGTAATTCTCGCTCGAAAAGATCTCTTTCTCTCTCGCTTTCTCTCTCAGTCTGACGGGCCCTCGCTGGCTTGCTTACTCGCTCGTCCCCTCTTTCGGGAAACAGGGGGTAAGGGTGGAGGCGGAAAAGAAGACGGCCAGGGGAGCCACTTAGGCGAATTACATTTTGAGTGGAGCAATCCCCGCCCTTATCCCATGTTCCCCCAGCGGCCGCGTCTCCGATCCACTGGCACTTATAGCGAATGCTAGCAGCACTGCTGCTGACGCTGCCGATGGCTATCCGAATCCCCGCGCACCCGTCACCCCACACAAACCCCACAGTTCACGCAGCGACCGTTCGCGACGCGCAGGGACCCTGTACCCCAACATTTTTCTTATCATTCACGATTGCAAAGAGGGTACATCGTGCCCGTCACAAGTCACTGCCGCCCCCGCCGTCACTGCCTCCCCTGCAGCGCCAGCCGCTACCATCTACGTCAGACAAAGATAGAAATATTCTTAAACGGATGATGATCATCAGTATCACCATCATCATCATAAAACACATAAGCGAAATGGAGAAATAACAGTAGGTAGGAACGACGCAGCTCTGAAAGATTACAGCTTTTCTTGTACTTACACACTTTTTCTTGTCCTCTGTTTATCACTCCCGTGTGCTGACGATGTGGAGGAGAGGAAAAAGCAAAAAAAAACAGGGCATTATGAAAACGAAGCCGGCTAGCTGAGCTTGATTGCATTGATATTACGATTCATAACCTCGTAAAGCGCAGACGATTAAAAGAAGAAAAATATAAGATTTTCAAAAATAGAGAAAAACTACATACAATCGTACAATTGACTTGGCGCGCACTTGGATGCAACAAATGGTGTTTGAGGAATCGAAGACCTAAATATTGCAACAGAAAATATTTTAGAATAATTTTGATTCTGAACCGTGGTTGAAAGTATTTTGTTATTATAGGTGTAATACATTTTGACCTTAACATGACGATGTCTAATAATTCTACGATGTCTGAGGATTTATTAAAAGTCATTTGATTCTGGGACGAATATTAGTGCTCTTGAATAATCTAACACTGGTTTGTGAATATTATATATCGGTATCCGAGAATAATTTTTGTGGAAATCACTATAACAATTCTACATTATTTTTAAAATGTTTATTTTCGACTAAAAATACGTTTAAATGCGTGGGAATGTTTGAATTAAATCATACATATATAGATGCATGTACATTCATACATACGACATGATACGCGTCACCCCTATAGAAGCAGCCTCTCCCATCTCGGCCGTTCGTAATATGTATATTGAAGCAATTCCATATATTACAGTCTGAAGAAGACGAGAGCGGTCGGTTGCAAGAGCAGTGAGAAAGTAGTTGTGGGATTGGATACCCCCCAGGGCTTGCGGGGGTACTCGGGCTGAGGAGGAAGACATCGGCATCACGCGGCAATGGTGGTAGCTAGGCAGTGGAGGTGGAGGAGTTGGAAGAGGATGAAGAGCAAGGAGAGGCCAGAGAAGGTGACCGGCGGTGGCCGAAGGGGGGGAAGTTGGGGCAATGTGGGAGCCAAGACAAACCCCTGCGTCTTTGCGTCGAGTGTCCAATGCAGCCGTAGGTCATTTCGCCCCTTCACTTCTAGTCGCTCTTTCTTGACCAATGTTGGCCGTCCGCTCCTTAGACCCCTTTAGGCGCGTGCACGCCGAACTACGCACCCCGTTTCAGTCTCCCCTTGAGCACAGGCCAAGGACCATTTTGTATTGAGGCCCTGTAATCCCAAAGTTCTCAACCCAATGCTTCCCACATTTCTTCCGGTGAAATTGTGGATTCCCGACCGCACTATTTCGTATCTACTACACACTACAACGTAGGAGGAGATACTGATGGCTGGTTGTTTTCAGAGTTTTACCGAGGCTGACTTACTCTGCCCCCCACTCCCTCTCGCGTTTTCTATCCCTTGTCATGTGTGCCAGGCATGTATCATGACGATGCAGTTGTTGTTGTTGTTGTTGTTGCTGCTATTGTAGGATATGAGTAGAAACTATCGGGTGACTTTGTCTATCTGTGCGGCTCTAAGCCCTTCCTTCCTACCTCGATGGGCCTCTATTTCTCCGTGTCGCATCTATCTTCAAACAAATGCTAGTGGTTCTTTGTCTGTGGGCGCATGGATGTCTTAAAAGATATGCGAGCGTTCTATTTGGTGTTCACGCCTACCTTCACCTTCATGAACGTGCTGTGAATAGATACAATTTTATCAATATAAAATTAGACTGACTATTAATTGTCGACTGGTTTGTAGCCTATATCATCGAGCATACCGATTTTTGAAGAGTAATCGTAAAAGGGACTTATTTGTAGCATATTTATTACGCAGAGACTTATCACCTGCTTGTTGAATGGTAAACATTTTTAGCAGGAAGAACTAACCGCTTAGTGTCACATAAATATAAGTAAACATCAATAATAAGTAAGTCAATTTTTTGAGTCCTGCAACTTGGGCATATATAAACTAATACCTAACGAAAATAACTATTAGGATAAAAATATGCTAGATTTATAAAAATCTGCCAATAATGTTGTATAGTAAGCAATAAGTCCAACTATTTTTGAAAAGATTTTTATGTATAGCATAAGTAAACAGGTTCGCAACAAATATTGCATTTGTGCGGTAAGTAAAAAGTCAATACTTTTAGTTTATCTGACGTACGGCTTGCGTTGCCTTTCAGACAAATGAATTCAAACAGAGTAGATATAATAGTTTATTCTTTGTCAATAAAAAGCCTGATTTTTATAATATTCTACTAAACACTTCTGTAAGTATATAAGTACAATTTATGAAATGTCTACCACATTTTGGCTACCGGATGCATTTTTGGTAAATTTTTTTTTTACAATCTACTATAATTTACTTTACAATACCTTGAAATGCCTACTGCTCTAGGAATTAAAATTTCTCCATATTCCCGTGTTGTCTGCCCTGATGTGGAGCGTCAAAAAACGGGCCTTAAAGGATCTCTCGTTCAATATTCACCTTTGGCAGAGAATGTAAATGTCAGAACGCAGGTCGGTATTCCGCTGTTGCTGAGCTTCTTTAATTTATCTTGATCACAATTGTACTTGGTTACGCGACTACAATTGCTTCGTATTAATTCAGTATTATGCCTTAATAAATTCAGAACACTATTAGTTTCTATTCACTTTCCCACAGATCAGTACACATCATTTATAAATATTTGATTGGATTCCGTTGACTGATAATAGTACTCATTCCGGCAATTAATGTCCCTTTACGTAAAAGTATTAGCATATAAACCTATATACACCAACAAAATAGAATACACATTAACATACCTAAAAAACTTTTTTTTATTTTACATGTTTGCGGTATCAGCAAATTGTTTAGCATAAACGTAGTCGTATAATGTGCTTCGACAGAGTTTGTAGGTGTCTGTTTGTGTTAACGGTCCATTAATAACCAGTCACTGTAAAAGTGAATCTCGGACGGAACAGCGAGAATGGAGAAGCTTGTGTGATATAAAGGCCCAGGAAATAGACAGATAGAAAGAAATAGGGTAATCATTCAAATTGACCAGGCACCACCTTTTGATGTTGCGAGCGCCGGGGGCCGGCGGGCCAGTCAGCTCGGCCAGTTTTCTTGGTTCGCCGTCTAGCACTCCAATGGCACTGCCAGTGCGGCGATGCCTCGCTTCGGCCGCGCCGGTTCAATCCCTCGCCATCTAACTAACCCAGACCCAAGCCGTAAGCCTCTAACAGCTCTCTCTCTCTAAAAGCCTCTAACCCCCCATGGTATAGATCTCTCCCAGTCAGCAACTTTCAGCAGTCAGTCACATCGTCATCGTTGTCGTGTTGAGCAAGAAAAGTGGTGGCCGCTCTGGTCTGCCATCCCATAAAGGGCGCATAGAGGACTCTTTCCGAGTCGTCGTAAAAACTGTTCGTTTTTTTTCAGCCGCAACGCTGCAAGCAGCAGCAGCAGCGTCGGCGAACGTCGTGAACTCTACGGTTGCCGGCGTCCAGCATTCGGCGCTCAGCGGCGGCACTAGAAGCAATGACTAAAGTAGGCGCCGCAGCAACTCGCGGAGCGCAGCGCGTGTCCCAAGTTCTGCCGCGTCACCCTTACATCCAACACCCCTAACCCGCTCTTCACGTTCCACCTAGAAGAGCAGGTTGTTGCCCCCATTCTGCTGTTATGGGCCAACCATTCCAACTCCATTTGGCAAATTGTGAGTTTGGCTGCCAAGGCAGCGCCCAGCAGCAGCCACTACAAACGCCAACGCCACAAGCAGCCACTCACGGACAACTCCCATACCCCTTTAGACCATACTCCCGCCTTTTCGACTTATTCCCCAAAAGTCGCTTAGAAGCTACACACATAGTACCTCCAGCAACAGTAAGCGGCAGCATTGCTGACCTAAACGGCCGCTGGCAAGGGCAGAAAACGATACAGGCAGAGTCACTTCCCCCTCATCGTTACCCTCGAGCGGCCAGCTCCCTGAGGCGACTTCCAGTCTTCTAGACCCCACTCTCAAACCCCTCTCTGTACAAGTATGCCAGCTGCCCCTATCACAAGAGCGATCACCCAATTGGCGTGCGAGTATTCTTTATTCTGCCGACCGCCCGTTCATGCCACGGTCCGTTCCCTCACCTCAACTCACTGTCACCCCCAATTTCACCCCTAGAGTCCCCCTGTCCTGTTTTCCTCTTTGGGTGAGTTTGCTTTTCCAGTTCACTAGGCTGAAGCTCCAGCTCCGCTCGGTGGCTCACGATCGCCACATACTGTCTGTAGCTTTCTATTTTGCGCCCTGTTTAATTTTATCTCGATGTTCATACTGCTCGTGCCCGATACATGCCCGGGACTGGCAAGCTCGACTGCAGCCGCACGATCCATTACGATTGGCGCTCATCAAACATAATGATAGAATAAAAATCTAGCGCACAAGAACCATCATGATCGATAATAACGGATACTAAAGCTTGTTAATTACAGTAAATACAGGTGTATATGCACGTTGCTTAGGTGAATCGATGGAAGAAATGCAAGAAAACTGCACTGAATTTTTTTAATTATATCTGTTGTTATGGTTGTTAGGTTGAATGTGGGTGGATGTATGTTGAGTGAAATGCTACAAACGTCTGCTCTTAGGGGATGAGTTAATTTATTTCCTATAGAGTGTGTTAGTTTTGCTATTTTTTTGTTATTAATCCTCATAATAAGTTAGCTGCAACGGCTCTTGCTATATTCAGTTTCCTAACCTTTTCACTTTAGCTCATTCCTTGTCATAGGTTTATTTTCATGAAACCATCGTTGTATCATGGTAGAACGAAAGCTGCATCTTTTGGATGAGGCAGGTTATACTATGACACCAGCTAGGAACTGTTCTGTCTGCTTTATTTGGCCGTCAGAGCAATTCCTGACACTCCCTGAAACCTTAATTACAGTTGCCTATGGTGTACACTCATTGGTCTAGTTCATAGCACCTTACATACATGGCATTTGTTAAGTGAATCGTAGATAATAGGGACTCAAACGGGTAAGAATGTGCACGTTTAGTCTCGCGTAACACGATGGGCAAATACGTTAAGTGTCCATAAAACACTTCAAATACATGCGCTCATATGTGACCTGGAGTAACAGATTATCAAAGTTTTCTAATAATAATAACAAGCGTGTATGGCCAACGAAGCATCGCGATCAGTTTTCATTGGATAATTAGCAAAAAGAAATTATAAACATGTTAAGCCATCCGTTTAGTGAACACGCTGCTGTATAGTGTACATAACAGTAAATCAATTTTAACACCTTTAATGACAACGATTCTAGCTGATTTCTTTTGTCATTACCGGCGTTACACGAACACGATAAAAACAATAGCAAAATAATGTAATGAAAGCCTTAGCAAAGCCCAGTGCAAACACACTATTATAAATATCACCCGTGCTAACTTTTTTCCTTCAATGTTAGCCAATGCAGCGTCCAGCAGCGTCGGCTGCACTTGCAGTGGCCCATTAAAAAATGCAATCAGCTAAGCGTCAATGATTACTTATTGATTCTAGAAAACACAACGTAACCTCCTCGACTTACGCAAGGACGTCATTAACATTGTTAGCGTCCTGGCAACTAACGGTGACAACGGTGGCTGCGCCAGCAGTAGCAGTTTCTCAGTGTACCGTGAGGGAGAGATGTTCACAGTCGGGAGCGGTGAATGTACGGTTGAGATAGGGCGCTCGCGAAGGGGGGTTTGTTGGTTGGTTAGCAGGAGGGAACTCCTGTGCTGCGCTGCTCCTTATAAAGAGTACACGTCAACGTCTCTGGTAGAAACTGGACGGCGAGACTCACTCCAAACGCGCCTTGGAAGTGTCCGCATTGCACCGTTCTGCAATTGGGCTTGCTGGGCTGCTTGGCTATGGAGGGTCGAGGCCGGGCTTGACGGCTGTGCGACGATGGAGCCACGGCTTTCGGGGGGTCCGCGGGTCTGCTATGAGGCGCTGCTACAGGCCACTGCCATGGGGTAGCTGTGCGGGCCGTTTCTGCCATACTGCCGCAACCCCCGTAGCGATAGTCGCAGGCAGACTGGCCGACTGACTTAGGCGGAAGCAGCAGCAGCTCCTGTAAGAGGACGAACGCGACGCAATTTCGCTGATTGGCACAAAACGCGATTGCTGCGCCGCCTGGTGACTTTCATGAAACGGAAGGTTACAGCCGTCGTCGGCAGCTAACATTGTCAGCAGGCATTGCTAGTTAGGCCGGTGGGGAGGGACTAGTCTTCCACGATCTTCGTCGCCAGTACCACACGCCGTTATGCCGTCCCGGTACGTGCGGCTCAGCGTTACTTCAATCATCCACTTCGACTCTCTCTCTCTCTCTCTCTCTCTCTCTCTCTCTTTGTCCCCCGACTTCGCACGCTGCCGCGTACGCCTACGCACGGGGCACCACCGTGTGAAAGCGGAGTTGTGCGGGAAGAAATGGTAGATGGCGTCATCTCATCTAGCACGTGTCGCACATCCCTGGTGTATAGTATCCGCTACGGCCCCCTATATTAATGCCAAAACGGAGTAAAACGAAAGTTCATTAGTAGTTAGTGCCGATGTGACCCATACGAAGGCACGAAATGACTGTGTTTAAACTGAGTCTACTGAAGTGTGACTATTAAAATGTGTCTATGGGTCATCATTAGAAAACAACTAAACCTTTATGAGCAGTCTGTTTTATAAGTTTAAAGACTTCCGACAATTGTCAAACGGACGAAACAGGGCCGAAAATGAGGCTTGAATATGACCCCAAAGATGTATAGGACCTTTGCTCGAGACCTCACGTCATTATTACATCTGATTATTTGCATAGTTTGACGTTTTCTGATTAATCACATACTATGGTCGTGTTATATCTGTCGTTGGCGGAACTGGTGGGTACGTTGAGTTGGATGTAATCATTTTCCGAGCAAAAATGATTAATTCTGTGTGCTGGTAAAACGACTGGCTGTGACGATTGATGTTGTGCTCGCAGCAGCAAAAAATAGCAGAGCTATGGCGTTCCGAGTTGAAGCGGGTTGTAGCTTGCCAGGGTTAATAAAGTTTAACCCTAGTGCGTTTTTTCCCCATTTTTTCAAAGGAAAATTTGTAGGTAGGTCGCAAATAATGCAAAGTAGAGGCAAAGTTATCGACAAAAGAAGATACGTGTCCCAACTGTAGAGGAGTTGAACGCAATATTTTTTTAAACGCTCTCTATGACAACCTAAAAAAATATACATTATGGGTGCAAGGATCCCCGTATCGATAAGTTGATGAAAGAACGTATATATCGGTCTAATCTAATTACGACCACCTGTGCCATAACTCATTACGATCCTCTTGGGCCAGCCTGAATTATGAGGGTTGTAGGATTTCATTTTTTGCAATTGCAATGAACGAGTCTTATCTAGACAAACATTTATTTTAGTAGATGCGTTATGTAAATATTCCTGCGTACAGGCTATCGCCAGAATCTGCACCAAAGGTTGATCAGTCAGCGGCACACACTGCCGAAAATATAGTATACAATGATTAGTTAAAGGTCAATAGGGTGTGCGACAAAGTCCCTAGCACCTTCTTCTACCTCTTTGGACTCTTCAGTAGCGGGCATACTTAAAAATGAAAAAATAAGTGCCCATCAGGCTTATTTACTATACTTAAAATTGCCTTTTATATAGGTTCCCAAAAGCTATGTAAAAAGCTTGGGTCAGCACGCTTAATGCCTCTTAAAATTGTTAGACCTTACTCTACCTACCTGTGTGACGAACAAAGACACATTTTGGTCTAATTGGCATTACTTTTAATGACCATTGTAGAATGTAAACATTACACTTTCGTTCTTCCTTCTCACAGGCATCGACACGTATGCCGTTCGATTTCGCTATGTAGATGGTGTTATTATCGTGTTTTCGTTTTCACCCACCAGTGAATCACTCTTTTCGCTTCGATTTTTGTTTCTGCTATCGGTCCAGGGATACAGCATTGCCAAACAAAGTGTTGAATTTATTTTATCTACTCTTCCGCTTTGTGCTCGTTTTTATATATACAGATGCCAAGCATTATAGCCATTGTCATAATCGTTACTGTCCTATAACAATACTCATAATGATCGCAATGTCACTTATTTATAATGGGATCAGAACCAAAAGTATCGTGATTCTATTGATAATATAATTACACTCGAAAAAGTGGTGCGCAATAGAATAATAAAAAATAACCATAAAATCAATTATAGCCATCATCCATGGATCTTAGTAATGATTCTATTATGCTGCTTTTTGTCACTGTATACAATGTTGTTATCGTCACATATTGACGGGCGCATGCATCCACTGTTGCTCTATTTATTCTGCTACCTTCACTCCAGTGTCCTTCTGTGTGCAACGCTTTTTCTTTCGTTAACTCGTTACTATTACATCATAATGTTCATAATAATATCATTATAATTACGCCATTTAGATCACGCCATCTTTACCACTTCTGCATTTTGATGATTCCTACTCAGATCGGGCGCCGTGACCCGCAAAAAAGTACAAAGAACCAACGGCACGTCACCCGCCATTCAGTGATACGACTGGCTCAAACAGGCGCCTGAGGACCTCGGGGACGGGGATTTTTGTCGGGTTTCAAGACGAAACAAGGCTTTCGGAGTTTGAACGGCTCAGCTCTATTAGGTCGCGGACGACGCGGATTGAAATCGCACCACCAATTGACGTTCTATCGACCAACGATTTGCCCACCGCCTGCTATTGAACAACGGCACATTACCTTTTGTTTTATATCTTTTTGATATTTACTTTCCATCTATCTAGCTGCGTGTTTTCCTTTGTCTGCGTTCATACCTAGTTACTTGGTCTGCTTACTTACACATGTTATCATAATTGTTCCTTCATAACATAAGGTCACATTGCAAATCACTCGAGGCCGCCGCAACAGATGAGAGGGAAAGGACCTCCGGTAGTCATGGGCATCTTTAAGTCACCGATTTTTCTCTGGGCAATTAGGCTAACTTCCGCAAAACCTTTAGAACGTCCACGAACTGTGTTATGTGGTATTGTTAGGGTTGATTCACCAATACAATTGTTTTTGACGTTATCAAATGAATGATGTATATACTGATTGTCGTATCATCTAAATATGTAGTAGCGGAGGTCAATCATTGTGAACGCATTGGTAATGCAAAATTGAGTGCGTTTTTTCCTCACTTTGCGTCGCTTCAATGAAGAACAGTAAAGATTCTTTTTTATTTTGCCTTGTTTGTCATCTACTTACTTCTCGTTAACTCTGGATCGGACTTGACCGCAAAAGCTAGCCGGCCTCAGACCTATTGTATACAACCACGCTGAGCAAGCCGGATTTTACCGGCTATAGGCCGTCGGAGACGTGGTTCTATCTCCTTCTGACGCAGACATATGTCGCACGTTTTATATATACGTATGTATCGCGGGCGAGGGGGTCATTCTTTCGTGTCTTGTATTTTCTAATGTTACTCTGCTGGATTAGCTAGAGCAGCGATAGAACACTTTGAGGATTATTGTTTTAATAATTTATTTTTCTATAAATAACATCCATATTGTCATTCTGCGTTATCCCAAGACTGGTTAATGAGGATGCTTGGGACATGCTATAGGGGTACTGGACGAGATATATGGTGAATGACACATGGTAATTGACAGGCAGCGGCGTAGTGCACTTTCAGCGTGCTGCTATGGCGTCCAAATGTAGTTCGATTTTTAAAACGAATTTTGCCTTAAATCTGTACGTCTTTTCTCTATTTTCTGCTATGATTATTCTGACACACAACAAAACTTCTGGCCTGCTTGTATCATAATCAAGTAGTCGGGAAACATCACCCTCAAACGAGAAACAAGTGCACTTCGCCACATAAAATTGATGTGGTATGGAAACTGTGTTATGCTAAGTTGCTGCCATCTGAGTAACAGTGCGAGAGATCCTCACTGATTGGACATCAAGAAGGAAAGCACTCATCGAAAGACAAGGACAGGAAGGGGGCAGGAAATTAGGTGATAATAAACAGACAATTATAGAATTGTCTCTTCATATTTTTAATGACGACGAGGTTGTTGCGATTGAACAAGCCGGGTCGAATAAATCCCAGCCGGTCCAGTAATTAAGCTAGCTTCTGTATTCACCAGCTATGTTTACCACTTTCACCGACACGGTCACCTAGTCATGTTTTTATGCTATATTTGACGCAAGCGCTTGTCTTTACGAAAGATTTACTTTCAGGTCAGACTCATACTTCGATATGCCTTATGTGCGAATTTCGGAACCTTTTCATAAATCGTAAATAAAACAAGCGGGAATCGAAATGACTTGTGTGAGCAGTTAGCGGGTGATCGGAGGCTGTCCATAAAACGAACGGGGTAGATCGTATTCTCAACGACTCAGCATCAAGCTAGCGGCATGCTACTGATTATAACGCTAAAACAGCGGCTGAATTTGTGCTGGGGTACGTTTTGGCGGTGTCGTTCGCCGACCCATTCGATTAGCATACAATCAGGTATTCGTTTTGCTGTTCATGTCATCTACAAACTGTATGTCTCAGCTGCGCGTCGAACGGTGAAATGGTAGCGTTCATTCAAGCGTCTTTTTCTTCTAATGAAGACGGCCTGTTTTCTACTTGGGCAAGTCAACCGCCAACTGTCAGAATTAGAGATCGATACTCTCGAGCATCTGCTGTAGAAACAAATCGATGGTGGTCTCGTCGCGGGGTTTAAGAAAGAATAAGTGGTCGACGCACTTCAGTCCAATCGAACGTAAGGCTGGTAGCCGTAACAACAGCTTTGGGAAACGGCTAGGCTGATCTGGATAGGTCATTCGGGTATACTCCTCAAGTGCGATATAGACGCCCTCCCGAAATTGCTGGACAAGATGTCGGTCTTTTAAACCTCGCGCTTCTGGGTTGTACAGAATAATCGCGCGAAGACAGCCCAGTTCCGTCTTATCCATCTTCATATCACGCATCTTCGTTACTAGTTCGGCAAGTACTCTGTAAAGCGCCAACAAAAAAAAACGCTTGAAATTAAAGTTGCGTCACTACGTTTATCATATTGCGCTGTTAAGTTTAATTTTTTTTACAAAATAAAAACCTGAGAATTGCTTCGACACCCGTTATTAACAACTTTTTTCTCCAATGTTGGCGGAATGCGCTAAATTATTTGTAATATAATAAAATAAACAATCCCTACCGGATTTTTCTAAAGCCCATCATATTTGCCTTCACAATAGATGTGCTCTTCGGTATATGTTAAATCGAAATCAACATTAGCGACCAGTTTGTTATTCAGCTCTATATACCAAACATCGATTGTGACGATTGCATATCATACACAGGCGTTTATATGTTAACGGTGGGAGATAAACCATAAGAGACAATTTCTAACTGCACAAAGCTAATTTAAGGTATAGCATGTATTTTTGTTCAAACTCAACTTTGTTGGGATTGCGAAAAACGGCTGGTCAGTCGAATAATTTAGGTGGCGCCCTTGTCTTTATGAGTGTTACAGGCGGTGCTTAGGCAGTGTAGGAGACCCACGCGTTTGCAAGTCCTAATGCGCATAGCAGTATCATTCGAACGAGTGTTCTCCTGAGGGTAACGTATATTCATATCATGATAGAATTGTGTGCTACGAGTCTAGGTCAGGGTGGATAAATAGCAATGGCCGCACCGATCATCTCCATCTTCCATAAATCAGAAATACGTACCTGTCAAAAATCAGTCCCACGCCCGCCTGATGGGCACTATCTCGCTGTACAACAAGCCCGGTGGCCAACACGATTCCATCCTTGACATGTATCGATTTATGAGAGAATCCCGCTATGAGCAATTCGTTCCAGCCGCACTTCAGCAACGTTGCTTGCTCTTGAGGGGGTAACTGTGTGAAATGTGGTATCATTCGGGCCCATGCTACCAATTGGTGGATTTGGCGATCAGCAGCCGTGTTCATTGACGTCACTGGATCCTGCGACGTTAGCAGCTAAACAAAACGCAAAACGGCACAGTATTTATTAGATGAGACCTTTGTTTATAATACAGAACGATCGTCTGACTGGCGGGTAGATCCTAGCTAATTTAATATGTGGCAGCATTGTTTATAGGATAGAAATAATTAATTGTCTAGTATAAGGTAAGCCACACTACAGTGACTAATTACAAACACTTACTAGTTAATAATATAACGAATAACCTAAATCCATTACGTGGTCATCATTGATTTAGTCGAAGAGGAGCAACAAGCAAGCCAGAACGAGACGACAAAAAATTAGTAACAAACTAAAGCCGTATATGCGTCAATGCTTTTAGCTTTTTGTCTCTTTTTTGTTTGTATTATTGTCAAAGGACACCTACATGCAATTCGACCTCGTTCGGTCTTTGGTCGACCCGCAGTTCAGCATCGGTAATACGTTCGATCGGCATCATCTCCAATACTGCGGCCTGTTGTTGGTAAAGCGCGTTGACCACGTGCGGTGAGCGGTTAACGCCTCCACCACTAACATTGGTCGCAATGTTGCCTCCGCCACCGCCGCCGCCACCGCCACCGCCGCCGCCGCCGCCGCCGCCTCCCACCCCATTCACCTGATGGGCGTCTATCATGTCGTTGTTGTTGTTGCTTTCGGATCGATCCTTTCGTTGGCGTTCTTCTTGAACCGCTTCGCGTTTCATACCTGCTCGACGCGAAATAAATGCGACGATGTTCCCGCATTATAGAAACAGAAATCATAACACGTGTGGCCCTAGTTGCGAAGAGGGAACAAGCTCAATCTCTCTAAGAGTGTGCTTAGAGTACAGGTGATTATTCATAGAATGGGACAGCACGTTAGTTACTAATTTCACTGGTAGACAAAGAAGGCGCTCGGCAAAGGTCGCTTCACATTACGGTTGGAAGCACGTTAGAGTGTACCAGAATCCATTGCCTAACATACCGACGATACGTACTTTTTTTCTATAGGTATCCAGCTTGTAAATTAAGGCTCGCTGGCTGCTAATATAACATAAATAATTATTTGCATGTCGAATAATTTACGTAGCATTTCCGTATAATTCTGGCAGACTTGCGTAAGACTGGTTATTTACCGAGAAAATTCAGAAAAACACTAGACTAAGGCAAAATCTGTAGCTAAGCTGAAGACCATTTTCAGCAACTGTGACTATAAATCAGAGTTATAGAAAGGCAAACGTGTAAAGGTGACAGTGGCACTTGTTGGATTTACAGAAGTAAACTTGCCTCAAAAAGTTGGAATAGATGCTTTATTAAGTCTTGTAGCAGAATGCTGTCTATTATATTGTGAGTAACGTATCGAGTAGTCCTGTTTAAAATCTGAAGCATCTCGATATCGACGAGCCGAACACGATATTATGGCTGTAGCTAGTAGGTTACCAAGTGGTGTTGCAGGTCAACATTCTCTGACCAATTGTATAGAGCAACGCTAATTTAATTAGCAGAAAAGCTAGCCTTCAGCTTGTAATTATTGGACACCTAATGAGGTTGCACTGGGGCGACAAACGCCAGAAGCTATAGGCAGCTAATTAAGACAAAGACAGCGGGGAAAGCGAGCTAATTAATGAGATCGACGAACGAGATGTTTCTTCTCTCTCCTATGCAATTCGATGACAAGTTAAGACAGAATTACTAAACGGCTAATTTTCTGCGGCGTGTGGCGAATGGAAGTTTTAGCTATTTGGAATGCCCAATCGTGTCTCATATATCAAAGCAGTAACTGTGACGGGCGAAAAAAGAAGAATGAAACTTGAAGGTCACCGCTATAAGTCCCCCACGTCCTTTCAATAGCAGTAAGCGATACGTACCACATTGGAGGCATTTCTGATAGCGACAGTACTGGCAGCGATTCCTTTGTCGCTTGTCGATCAAACATCGTCGCTCTTCGCGACACGCATACGTTAGATCTTTACGAACGGTCCTCTTGAAGAAACCTTTACATCCTTCACAACTGCGGAACCGCACGAAACCAATGGGAAACCAGGTTATCTTCGAATAACTCCTTTCGCAGATAGCATGGATATGTGGCCACATGTATTTTGTTCGAGAATTTAATTTTTTTGTTTAAATTGCTAGGCACAGACAATCAAATGTGGACTAATATTGGATTTTGGTTACATTGTGTTAATAGACCGAATTCTCTACAGCGTTTGAAAGTTACTCCATTTTTTTTTATTCGGTTAACAGCAACTCTGGGAAGTGCTCCGGTTGCATAGAAAACAAAAGTTATTATAAGATGGGTTCAAATCTTAATTGATTCGGCCGAAATAGTTTTGCTACTTTTTTCTACAGCGTTTTCGTTGCAGCTTTTTCATAGATATTTTTGCTGATATATATGGGCAAAGTCCATATATATCAGCACTAGATACATCGTAACGTAATGGAAACTTGGTTAATTAATACACTCTCCTTCCCATGCTTAACAAGCTTTGTTGCAACAATGCCAATAAATTCTATAGATGTAGTTGATCAGACTTGCAAAGTCAGATCTAAGTTACCTCATGGGCTAGATTTTTGTGGCGCGATGACCAACTGAATATATCTGGCGTCTAATCAAAAATACCCGTAGTTAATTACTAACTCATTTTGTACGCCACTATAATCGCAATTTGTATAGGACCGCGTTATCCAGATCCACATAATCTGCGCCCTAAATGAGAAATATACATACATACATACATACATGAACGAATACAACACCAAACTAATCAACCACTTGTTCCTTCTAGCTTTTAATGATCTAAATTAATTTGACCTAGGAGGCCCTTACATACCGATCTTAGTTGGATCACTCTATATTTGTCAATATACTTCATTGGGGTCGTTACTTACCAAAGACTCAAAAGCTTGTCGCTTTACTACTAGGCCATGACGTAAAGACGCAGTGGAATTCAGCGAGTCAAAGTTGAACGCTATCGCACTTCTTAGCCGGTCGGCGAGCGCCTCTCCACGCACTCACAGAACACATATATTAAAGACATGTAGGAAAGCGCAAATGCATCTATTTGGTGGCAACAGCAGCATTCTAGCCAAACTTGGTTGAGATACGCAAATCAATGCCCCCCACCAATTCCATCATCATAGTACAAACGGATTACGTACTGTTCCTACTATACTGTCGCGAGCCACAGTGAATGCGATTGGAATGATGCCAAGTAAGATCCGCGAACTTGCGTCGTTGACAACTACGGGACATCGAACAATGTTGCCATTTGACGACTGACTAAGTTTTAAAAGGATTTAAAAAAATCAAGTAGCACAAAATGACGACGACCGCAATGGTGGCAATGGTTGAATATATCGACCTGTTTACCGCAGATGCTACACTACATATGACCTTTATGATTGAACTAGCCAGTTAGACTGACTGTTTATGATATTGAGCTAGTTAAAGCTGAAAAGAAAGTAATTTTTCCACTGGACTGATAGCAATCAACGAACTTATTGATGGCAGTTTTTTTATAGCTATGGTACAGGCGATGTCTTCATCCATTGTAATACTAACTTTGTCTATGACGAGCAAATCATTCATAAATAAATAAATAGCATACGATGAAGTACAATTTACTTGCTGTTCCATTCACTTAGCTTGACGTATGTTGACAAATTTTTACGTCAGCTAGCAGACTATGGAAACCACAGTGGCGTCGTCGGTACAGCGGCAAGATCTCGCCACGTCGCGCGTCCTAATTCTCAACCTTCTCTCCTGAACCAACCTTAGAACACCGACGTCGAACAGCATTTGCTGTCACTATGATTCTGACTGCCTGTCATTACGTTGGCAAGCATACAACAGCAAAACCGTTATAATCAAACGAACACGTTTAACCAGCGGGAAGGTGTCACGACGGCCTGCTCATTTTCATTTTGGATCCGCTAATCAACAACAGCAGCCATGGCAGCAGTGTCGGCGAGACAAAAGATACCCGTGACAACATTTGTGCGTTCGTTTTACATTACCTTTGACCAGTCGTACCTTCGAAACTTTTGGTTCGTCTGTTTCAATCTTGAGTTATTGATTTGGGACAGCACCAGTTGCTATTATTATGGCTGCTCCAAAATTATTCCCACAGATCGGAATCCGGGCTGTCCTTAAGAAAACCTACGACAGGTGTCCGATGCTTCGCCTGACATCACTAGCGATCCATTCAGAGACCGCTAGATTACTATCGATGATAACATCAATAGACTAGCATAAAGTAGCTAATGGTCGGCTCATTAAAACCACAACACATTCACGAAAGGATACCGATAAGTGAAGATTCTAGCTAAGAAGGTATTTAGGCGTAAAGTGCAATCACACGTACATCGATTAACTATATACCGACTCAATACTGAATGCGTAACTGATTCATTTTAAAGGCCCGCTATAATTGCTACAAGAGGTCCAGGATGCAATGCGGGAGTAAAGAGGTTTACTCCGTAGTCTATATCAGACATAAATCGAAGTATGAAAACACATGGTAACTGATCGAAACTCAACAACGACACAGTAGAAACAACTGGATTCGTTAAAAGCACGTGACCAGTTCTACTACATGAAGTACCTAAGGTCTTCTTAATAACTTCTCAATAATAATAAAATCATATAAAGAAATATCAGTAGCGGCAAAAACAAATAGCTTACTGACTGACCTGTAGACGCCATAGTGCTTGCCAGATGCCCTATCCCCGCAGATTGAGCAGAGATGCTTGGAATTAGACAGGGGATGGTTTGGAGGATAATTAGAGTTGCTAGGTGTTCCTGTGGGCGTCGTGGGTGTGATGGCGCCGCTCATTGCGGGTGGCGGCGTCGGACCGGAACCCCCAGGTGAAAGGGCGACCCCTCCGCTGCCCGTTGGCGTTGCTGGTTGGCTGATAAAAGTAAAACTCGTATTGTTCGGCTGGACGCTTGTGGAACTGTTGTTTAACTGCTGGGAATTGGGATTTGCTGAGGTGAGCTGCGCAGGAGGAGAGGATGAGGCGCCAGGTGCACCCACGCCCACACCCACGCCCACGCCGACGCCAACTTGGCGCGTCGCAGAAATCGCCTGAAGGGGGACGCCACCGCCGGGTACAGCTTGGCCTGCAATCACAATAGCAAAGCACGCATTATCCAATAGAAACAGACTTGTGCAAGGGAATTTTGCCTGTCAAAAGGAAGCAGATAGCTATTTTGTATTAAATTTTTCACAAAAAAGCTTAAAAAAAGTAAAAGCCTACATGATACCACGGAAAACTAATTTCCTAACTAGAACTACTCAGCCCAAGAATTTTGCTTTGCATCGATCTGCTTCATTTGAAAAGCATAATACGTTGACAAAACAACGAACAGTAAGCTGTACAAGTTCGCTTGGAGTGCCGCTATGTGTTCTACTTCCGAAATTAAACGTTAGAGTGATCATGGAACTTGCAAAGTTCGCAGAATGCCTAAAGTCTAGTGGATAATACGCGTGTTTAGTGTATTCAAGTTTTTAAGCCAAGGCTTAGTGTATCACAGATGTCGAATCCCACTGTATCTAACGTTTTAACTAAATACGCCTAAACAATTACATCCTATTACTTATTTCCCATCACTATGTGTGGTCTCGATGTAAACATCTTTGACAAATAAAAAAAATCTTGGATTTTTCTTAATTCTTGAGAATACGAAACCTAGTTTGACACCAATATAAGGTCTCCTAAGATGTGCGGCGTGCACTTAAGAGTTAGCACAATGAGAACTGTAGGTCCCTAATATAACGACAATGGAACTATCTATATTCTAAGGGGCTGCGCTCACGTTACAATACTGACATTTCATTACAGAATAAAAGACAAGACGGTGGAAAAATAACAGAGATAAAAATCATGTCTCTAGATCGTTTCCTCTCCTTACTGGGGTGCACTTTATGCATGCCTAAGATAGCATCTACACGGAAGTTTTTTTTTCTTCTGTGTATGTAATTTAACATTGTAGCAGCACAATATATTATTAGAAATGCAGATATGCTGCATCACTGGCCACAACTTACTCCAACCGAATCTTCTGTCCGGTCATTTCTATTACAGCGCTATGCCGCATCCAATAAATCTTATTTGTGGCTAAAGGGCTTTTAAGTTTTTTGGAGGTATTGCATAAATGTCAAGTTACGTTCTCGTGTCCACAACTAGACGTCAACTTCTACTCTCCATTGAGCGAATATCGATTTTTTGTAGACAGGACCCAGTCACGCCTATCATGACAAAGATAAATTACTGTTTATGGAAATAGGACCATGAATAAAACTGGCTCAATGCGCAGATGGCTGTTACACAAAGAGCTATCATATCAAGGAGATAAAGCATTCGAGAACCTCGGAATTATATTCAAAAGTATGGGAACAGAACCTGACGGAGAAGTAGGGAGCGTTTGTTTCTTTTTTTTCTCAGGTCATTTTCAGATACGACCCCCACTTCTCTATCGCAGTTTTAACAACAATATCCCACATTTTCGCTGAGGAGAACACGCTATCTAAGCGATACGAGGCTCCAAATGGGTACGAAAGTTTTTGATACGATTTCGGTAGAATTTGGATCAAGATGTTTTTTTTTTACTCACGAAAAGGCACATAAAGAATTCGTAGTTTGTTAACTGAATTTACACAGACACCCAATTTTAGATTCGCACTTTGTTTATCTTTTACGTTTCTATTTCGCCGGCCAAGTAATTCCTTGTAACTAACTGTCACAATCCCTGGAAAAACCAGGCTATATGTGTGCTTTGTGCTTAGTAGGCGTCAACTCAATAGGTGCAATTGGCGCTAGCCGTAGTGCAAATGTGGCTGAGTATTTTGTACATATGGTAAGCATGGTCGAGCACGTATTCTGCAAGTGTTCCGTACAGCGGCGGTAGCAGCAACAGCAACTGCAGGTGATTGGAAAAAATGCTCCATTTAAAATAATCGTATGTTTGGCTCAAAAAACAATCGAAAACGTTTCGACACCTTCGTTTTCCTGCACTTATCATTAGAGGTACTCAATTGTTAAACTAGTAGGGTGCGCACATCGGTCAGCGGTACACTGCACACATGTAGTCAACGGCTGTCGCAGCATTATGTAATCAAGGACTTTTGTCTAACATGGCCTGTGTCAGGTTCCAAATTTGACAGCCTTGCATTTTAGCTTTGACGATAATTTTTGTTGTTAGTACGGAATCGACCTAGAGCGAAACAGTACTATATTGAGTTTGTGCGACGATCGTGGTTTTCCATCGATTTTTAGACGCCGGCTACATAAATCGAAGGACGACAATTCGTCGATAACGGGTGTAGCTGCATAGCCAATGGCAAGCTTCTACTTAAACACATTACGGTTTAAGTCGACCAGAAATAGAAAACAGTTCATCCGCATTCAAGTGTTAAGTAAATTGAAAGACGAACTAGTTTATAAGACGTAATGCCCACACAGTGCGGGAAAATCACGTACTACCACCATTACTTTTAATCGCCTCCACCGCTAGAACCGTTGGACCTCGTCTGAAACGTCGCCTTACCCGCCTCGTGTCCGGCAGTCAGACTTAGACAGCAGGTGGAACTTGCGACAGGATATACTGATCTGATTCGACTCGTTTCGCGCGGATTACCAGTCATTGACACTAGTTCACTCGTGCCATCGAACAGAACATGTCTCTTGTAAATGAATGGCACAGCGTTACGAAAACGTCAGCCTCGTCCGCATATGACATAAACAACTTTGATGTCGCACTACTACGAATAAAGCTGCAGCGTAAAGCAAACAACTTTTACTACAGAGACAAACATTGCATTTGTGAGTATCAGACCGCATCAATTGTCAAATACGATCAGGCTCGCGCTAACGATAATTCCCTCAGAAATAGATAAGAATAATCTGGTTAGTATGTACAGATCTGGTTATATCTATCATGAATCTGCTAACACACTATCGACTATATTGTTACAGCAGGCGTAATCCGCAAGGCCAAGAGTATACGAACCTCTCGAACGAAGGTTAATAAATGCCGTATAGTATTCTATATCGTTGAAATTCGTCAATTCTATATGAGTTCAGCCGTTGTTGTTGACCGGCCCTTTCAGCCATACCGGCCGGATTCATTAGGTAGCTAACGTCAGTTACAAGTGCCATCTATCCGCAGTATATACAATGGAGTCGGTGAGGAAATGGGATGTTATTTCCTGGGTAGCGAAACAGCAGTTTGCAGCCGAGTGCTTGATGCTAACTGGGCTGATATTGCTTTGACGTAACAGCACGTGGGTTGCACTGCTCCTTTCGTCTAGCAGAACTCTATATTTATCAAACTCGGTAAAAACTTTATAGTAATTAAGTACGCTGATGCTTCAATAATTTGCTACACTGGGAGGCAACGATAGCACAATTTTCGTTGAACGGAAGCCTTGGTAACATTTACTTTACTAGGTAACCCTATGCGCGTATGCGTGAACTAAGTCGATTCTGTGTACATACATCACCTAATCACTTAAGAGTTATATGTAGTAGATGCTTAGTCTGAGATCTACGATTCTTAAGTGGGTCTAGTTTATTGGCTAAGACGAAGCAGCATTTTCACAATTTGCAATGGGTTACTTTAGTAGTCACCTTCCTTTGATTAAACTTTTCAGTCCTTTTGCAAGTCTGCCTATATAATTGATGCGTTCCTAATACGTGCTATCGAGTAACAAAATATTATAACATCTGTTAAAACAAGTTCATTCCTTGTCTATAATAGAAAAATAATACTACTACTACAGATTGACCTCTAAGCGCTCACGTTTGTAGACATCAAGCAAATAAACAAAGCTTGTGCGGAGGTCGAGATTCGTTCTTTAAAGTTATTCACGTGTAATTTACCTGCACAAAGTAAGGCTATCGTAACATCAGTAAATTTTACAGTTTTACGTGGACACGCATGCTGGCATCTAGGCTATAGTTGTTCTGACTACAGCCTAGATGTTTACTTTGACCGATTCCAGAAGTTCTGTCACTTGGTAACTTCAATTCAATCGTTTTCACGCCAGTTTAATCATAGTAATGCACGTAACGTTCGAGGCACGCATAGAGATGGACAAAGTAATGCTTAACAAGTCGAACCCATTGCTCTTCTTGAATCGGGAGGGCATTTACAGATAAAAAATTCTACTGCAAATAAACAAATGCTTATGGGATCATTAAGTCTCTAGGTTGTATTCGCTACTACCGTCCATTTTGTTTTGCCGCACGACCCATTACGATATAGCCTTAAATACTTCATACTTCATTTGGGCTAAACAGAGTCCAACGTTATCATGTCATCGGATCGTCACGAAAAAGATTAATTACGTTTTTTAAAGTTATTTTCGGCTATTACAAAGCGTCTCTGTGTGCTACTGAGATTATCTCATTTTGAATAAATTTGGTGTACGCCATTAAGGGTAGCCGTGAACAAATAATACCAGCAGTAAGCCATATTCGGCTTACCTGTGCCTATAGCTTTTATGATTACATCGGCTCGCAGGTTAAAGGCCCATTCCGTCTGCGCGGTCAGCTTGTCGAAGCGTTGATCGACAAAAAATCTACAATAATAGGAGCCATTCTAACGAAGAAATAACAACAAGTATTATAACTAGTGTGTATGTGCGTTAGCATTCAGTGTTGCACCATCTCAAGTTGAAAGTTATAATATTAAGACAAGTTTGTTACGTAACACTTGAGCCAGACGTCGTCTACTGAGATATATACCCCCCCCCCCTTCCTTTCGAAATCTTACAGATATCATAATAATTTGTAATTTGGTCACAGTGTTTGATACATAAAGTGCTCCCACAAAACATTGCGTTTATAAAAATGGATGAAACTCTTACAAGTAACAAAAAAATAACCGTTTGCTTTCTATCTCAAATCCTAACGTGTTCCTCATTCAAGCCACGGAACACATCGACACATCGCCGTTCGTACATCGGTATATCCGTTCTATGTAACATGGATCAAAAATCTTCACAGTTTGAGACGCTTTATTTTACATCTGATCTTATTTTCAAAATGTCAAGAAACTTTTGCCTCAGCTTGTGTATAGATAGGGCCCAAATTAAATAATAAAGGTGCTGGACAAAATTAGCTGCTCGCATAGTCTCAGCGCTAGAAGTCCCTAAGTGACATTTACATTGCTCGTAGAATGGATGAGTAAGGTAGAAGAAAACAAAAAATACCACTTGTCCAACTGGTTTGCGATGCTTCCGGTGAGGTGGGAGCACTTAGTGCAGATGGTGACGAGACGGGTAAAGGACAAATTACGCCTCCGGGACCCAACGCCGTGACGGATCCCATCGTTGCGACTCCGGCTCCCTGCAGTAGCGCTGTTACTGGCACTTTTGGCCGATCCTTTTTATACATTGTATCGTGTCAAGTTGTTTGAGGTGACTGAAGGAGTATCTTTACTTCATACGGTGGCTGCTATACTTGCAATTCTTTCTGTTATTTTCTGGTGTATTATGTTCGTCCCTTCGTGTTCGTCTTCTGATTTTCCCTTATTGTCTCCTGGCTTAGAAGAAACGACGTATATAGAGCTATGAAATCACAGTGAGGGTAAGAACGCACATTGATATAATCACATCACAATGCCATCACATTAATCAGAATTATCATTCCATGGGAAGTGATAACCGACTCATTGTTCCTATTACTCTTATGTTAGGATTCCTCTGCTTATTTTTGTTGCAGATATTGCTGCTAACGAGGATGCTGATTTTAGTTGAGCTCGCGGTGAACTTTACGGAATATGCGTACCAGTTCAGTTTGGTTATTGTTGTTGTCCTTGTTGCTGCTGTTATTGATGTGCAACTAAAACCTCGTGGCTGTATCCGGTGTCCCGATGCCCGTTGTCTTTATTGCAATAGTCTATTAGATCAACAAAGCTGTGATAACTGCCTGAGGCTATGTTTCCAGTGGCGGGTACGGTAGCAGTGGGCTGGCGTACTCTGGCTACAGTGTGGACGCTACCTGACCGGCAATCCTTGCGAGAATACCGCTTGGATTGGCCGGCGCGGTAACAAAGGCACATCGCCGATTGACGACGCCTGTGTAGCGCTGTGGATCTTCCCTGATCTTTTTTTGTTGTTATATGATAGTTATACGTGAGAAATTTTAAATGAGATTTTCGTGCGAACCATTTATGCGAACATCGATGCTCGGTCGTCATTCAGGAGGCTAACACCCCAATGGCGAGGAGCGAGGACAAATAAAGAGCCTCAGACTTGGGCCTATCATCTGGTAGGGAATGCTTGAGAAATCATCCGTCCTTGCCATCGCGGCCGATCCATCAGCAACAGTTACCGCAGCAACAGGACCACGGGTAGCAGTTAAACTTATTGCTAGAAAATCGACGCGAACCGTGGGACTAATTGGTGAGTGCTCGTTTTGTAAGCGGCGGAAACAGCTGATCCCTGGACATGGTAAGCCAAGGCTATAGAGAGAAAGCACCCGTTTTTATCACTACCAATCCCATCTATCGTAGACGCGGCCTTGATAGGTAGAAAAAGGTCACTTTTCACAATGTCAGTTGTTTGTAGCCGACGTTCATTTGTGGATAGAATTGAAGCGGTTGGTGTTTGTAGGAGATGTGATAATTATTTGCACAATTAGGTACCTACGAGACGAACGGGGATTTCTTAATGAGTTTATTCTTCGGAATAGCATGACATATATATATTACAAGTACACCTTTACCTCCACCATATCCTAACCAGTTGACACGACAGCATGAACAAATAAGTAGAGCTAGAATCACTCAAAATAGCTGCACGGTTTCAATTTAGTAATCCTGACCATGTGTACAAACGCTTTACTGGAATAGAAATACCCCGTATAGAAAGCCGGACGGGTAACCCGTTCAGCTCGCGTCACAGCTGTGAAAATTATCACTGATAAAACACAGATGGGGGAGCGTGGCGCGGGGGTGAAAAAAAGCAACAGCTGCCGTCATACAGGAACAGGCTCACTCTGACTTGTGTGTATTTGAGCACTTCGAGGGACGGATTGTAGCACTAGAAGATACGAATCACTTCCCTTTTCGCATCAGTTGATAATAAATATCCACTCTCATGCACGCACTATACATGCAAACAACAGCAATAAAAACAACAACGGGTCAACTCAAGTAGACGTTTCTAAACACCCCCACATATTCTTGAACTGAGCTAGTGGCCAGGCAGGTCACTGGGTTGTTTAGCGAGTTCGGTTTCTTGCCAGTTGGTCTGGTGTCGTCCCATTTTGTCAGCCTGCACCATAACGACACCAATGACACTTGTGATAGCCACCGAACAAGCCGATGTTCCAGTCACGGGAAGAGTCGTTCGGCACGTACGCGGTACAATCGCGGCGGCTGACTGCTGTCGTCTTAGCGGCTAGTGACGAACGAGTGAACAAACACGGGCCGTACGTTCGACTACTGTCAATCTTGGTGAGAATCGTAGTAATTTATGTCAGGACCAATTTAACCTGGCTGGTTCCTACGGCTTGACGTTATCGTTGGTCGCAGTGGCGGTCGATCCTTGCAGTTCGCAGCAGCAGTCGGTTCAGCTATCCACCGCTCGGTGGGTATGTATTCGTTGAGGTAGGTGGAGATGCAGGTAACACGGCCACCGTAGCTGTTGATTACTTGGCTGGCTGGCTGTCCGACCCTTCGGTTTTTTGATTGTGTTCCTGGTGCGGACGTTCCTGCTGTTGTATCCTGTGGCTCACACAACCACTCCTTATCAAGTCATTCATTCATTGTTGCCAATTGTGTGGGCACATATTGCAGCCGGCTTAAGCCTGAGTCTATTGCTGCGGCTGTTTCGATGATACTATTGCAAATGCTGCTGATGCTGCTACCACGGCGTGCTGCTGTACACATCTCTTTCGTAGTGTAATGACGATGTTGCTTGCAGCAGCAGCAGCAGCAGCAGCATTAGTGGTGGTCGACGTTGACGGCAGTGCCTGCTGACTGTGGCTGCTGCTTCTGCTGTTGCCGCCGTTGTGTGTTAGTGGGTCAGCTAGCGAGAGCGGGGCGAATGACCTCCTTTCGGCCTCGCGGCGCGCTCCGACCGACCGATTGACCAAGCGTCGTCGTCGTCGCCGCCGCCGCCGCCGCCGCCGCCGTCGCCGTCGCCGTCGCCGCTTTGCTACAACGGCCGCGTCAACTGATGCTACCACGACTGTGAACAACTACTACTGCGGACACTTCAACAGCCAATGCAACAACTGGCACCAACAGCGATGCGGTCGCTACTGTTGTCGCGATAGCGTTAGCGATAGCCGCAATAAACAGCGCCGGTAAAACTAGCTGCGGGTTGTTGCTGATTGATCAACTAAAAGCGGTGATAGTGACGGCTCTTTTCTGTTGTTGGTGTTGGCGATGGTAGCGATGCTATGCTGGAAGCGATTGGGGCAGTATCGACCTTTCTAATTTCGTGTTGTTGTTGCATCGCCATATATTTAACAGCAACCCTTACGAACGAATGGCGGTGATCTTGTCGATACGATTAGATTCCGATTGGTATGACATATATCGTGAGTGGAAGGTTTTTCGAAATCCGATATTTTTACGGCGGGCAAATATTACACTTTTTACGATGAAGCTTTTGAACACTTAGACTTTGATTTGGATTCTATTTATATCCAACTAACTGAGCGAAATGCACCTACCCGGACACAAGTTCGGGCACACTGACTACAAACAAGGACCGACCCATCAAGCCGAAGCCCAAAATAACGATAACGTATTTGGCATTGTTTTGCTTTACGTTACTTTGTCAGACCTTCTTGATATTGACGGTTGTTCTACGTTGACAAGGCCGTTTAATTCGACCGGGACTTCAGTCACTCACTGCCACCCTTCGCAGTCACCCAGCCACCCGACCGGCGTCGCAAATCAGTCACTCGCTAGGTGCGTCTGTGTTGCTGTCTCTAGTTCAGCGTCAGTTCGCCTTCCCTCAGTTCCTCAAGGCCACGCTTTTGGCGGCTGCAGCGTCGTCGGCCGCAGCGTTAATCATAAAAACAGCCGATGCTGAGCATCGTGCCCGAACTCGGCCAGTCGACCGCTCGTACACTGTTTATAGATGTATGAGAAGATCTATCTCTCGTGTTGCGTGTGCCACTTCAATATACTATACACGCGATCTGCTTTTTTATTGTCATCGCTCAGCTATATATACATATATATACATCCGTCACATGACACCGTTGTTCTGTGTTTATATACTTTATATAGATCGTTGTCTGTGGGCAGCAATTACCTTTGCAAGTTGGCAAATGAACTCCGTGAGTACGTGGAATCTGTATGATACGACCTCTTTAAGGCACAACTATAACGATGGACATTTTACCGAGAGGAGAAAATGCACTTCGTTCGAAACAAGCGAAATTTCCTCGACGTGTTACACTCCATGGATGTCACGCAATGCCTGGTTAGGTTCAAATTCACTAAAAACGCATCTCTCTTTAGCAACAATTTTTACTTTTTGTTTATTAAGAAATTTACTGGACAGGCTGCTTCTTTGCACACGGAAATGCTAGGTGACAACTGATTCATACCACTTCGGGATTTGCACTGTTCCACTTCCTAAGATCTATTAGAGTACAGCAGCGACGTTGGCGACGTGTCTACGCAACTAGCGTACACGCACGTAACCGTGATTGCCTATTTAGGGCCCGTTCGTGGCATCTGTGTCTTCATACAGCTGTATGATGAAGTAGTGAAAAGCAGGATCTCCTATTTGACGCCGGCCGCCTAAACTTTCCTTCGATTTTCGTCCTCGTTCTTCTCGACAACGACGATCTTTCGACAAAGTTTGTGCTTCTCTATTTTTACAGTTGTCGTTTTTTGCACAGTTTCGCTTGCGTTGATTGGACCTTACGCCGGATATCGTTCTTGCTTCTGCTGTTTGTTCGTAGCCGTTCTTACCCGTCGTGACGTCTGCGCTGAGCGCTGGTGCCGAGGTTGACTGCGTCGTTTTCTCGCTGCTTTGCTGTCGTCTATAACTGCAGCGGCTGCCGCGTCCGCTGCGTCTGGCGTCGTGCTCTTTTTGGCCGCGGTCGGGTTTTGCTGTTGCTGTTGCTGTAGCTACCGGGAGCTCCCGGATCCCTGGCAACGCTGGCTGGTGCTGATACCACTGTGTTCTTAATAGTGATGATGATGGCGGTGGCGGACGCCGCGCTTGGTGCTGCTCCGACGGCTGCTATTTCGGTGGCTGGATATCGGCCGTGGCCCGCGCTTGCTGCTGGCTCTGTTTATGCGACGGTCTATGTATATGTGCGCATGCGAGTGCTTCGCGCCGTGTCGTCGGCGTAAACATCATCCCGCACCGACAGACCGATTAATCAAGCGACCGACCAACCGACAATGCCGTAGCCTCTGGCCGCTTGCTCGTTCGCCAGACCGCCACATGTTGTTGTCGCAACGGCAGCAATAGTAGCTGCCGCTGCTGCTGTTGCTCCTGCTCCTGCTTACGCTGTTGTAACCGACGACGGAGGGCTGGCGCTTGCCACAGTCGGGCGCCGGTTCTCCTCTCTCAATGAGGGACCTAGACGATCCGTTCTGTGCGTGTCCACCCTTGTCCTTCCTTTATTCATCTAGACTCCTCATTTGTTCGTTCATCCGTCCGTCCGTTCATCTGTCTACCCGCTGTTGCTACAGCTGCAGCGTTCTCGACGGATCAATTACGCCAGGCCACTGGTGGCCGGCCACCCGCCCGTCATCCGCCGGCAGTCCGTAAAACTGACTGGCCTTGTGCTTTCTCCTTTTCGTGCATGCCCCTTCTCTAGGCCTGTCTCTCTACCGTTGTTTTGTCTGTCTGTTTGTGTGTGTTTCGGCTTATGTATGTGTTTCTGTACTTATACACCCGTATCTATGTATATGCATATATAAATATATAGAATCGATTCATCTGATCCACCTGCTAGCTTACCTGCTACTTCCATTGCTGTTGAAGCAGCATACGTTTACTCTATTGTACTATAGGAACGGGAACAGTGCGCGGGTGTTAATACAGCACATGACAAAAGCAGAATCTCCACAAACTCAGACCGTGAATGGAGTCGAACTTCTAAGATTATTATCTGCCACTTCCACGTTTTATTACATTGCAAGTTGACAACACTACGTTGGCATCAGGATCGCAACAAATGATTTCAACCGCTACTTAACCGGTTTACATAGAACGTGTAAAGAAAGCTGATGATGTTATAATAGTTGGCGCCATCCCGACTTCTGCCGGCCCTACTACTGCTGCCGACGTGCTTGTAGTTGTTTGCATGGCTTCCGATCTGGCGTCCGCATTTTCTTCAGCAGTCCTCCACTCAATCAGTCAACGAATCAGCCAGCCCTGGCGCTAACAACGATGACGATGAAGCCCCCAACGACATCGAAAACGAGTCCGGCATCCAATTGCTTTTCATTGCGTCGTACGACTGCGCGTTAGAAAAAAAAAACCAAAAGCCGTGGAGCAGCAAAACAACCAGACCGGAGGCCTCTTGCAGAACATACCACTGGATCACCATCGACTTGCTGATTCTATGTACCTCCTCGTTTACCTTCCCCATCATAGCAGGAGTTTTTTTTGGAATCAACACCATAGAAGAGGGCTACACAGCGACTCTGTTAATCAGTCTTACATGTCGAACTTTTGATACAGAAGATCAGAAGGTCTGAATGTCTTGTTTGCTGGCCGAATGCTATTGTTGGAGATGTTCTGTTATGACGTTGCCGTTAAATCTGCCTCTCTTCGTTCGACATCGCTTCTGTCGACTCCAAATTTCGGCACCTACCTTCATAAGTAGCACTCTAACGCTACCACCGCTGGTTGTCGATTGTACTAGAACTAGTGCTGCTACTATCAGATCCGAAAGCCATGTCCTTGTCGAGTATTATGTATTTCATTACTGGCGGTTTACCATAGGCAGCTTCTCGACAAATGATCGTCAGACACTTTTCTGGTGTTCTCTTGATTTCTTTCTGCTGCTGCTTCCCCAATCCTCTCCTTTTACTGCCACGCTGCTACTGCTTTTTTCTAGCCGACATTGCTGTTTCGTTCCCTTCAGCTGGTTTTTTCTGGGGTTGCGGGGGCTGCACCGAAGCTCCGCGCATCCAACCTGTGTGCGACGCATTCGCATGCCAAGCTCTTCTTCACCATTCCTCCGGTCGTTGTTGCTGCCGTCGCTGACGTCGTCGCCTTCAGCGCAGCGTTTCAACGTTACGTGGATGCTACTGCCGATGCGGCATCAGACTGTGAGCGCAGCATGCACGGCCGGCCAAATGCTAACGTCAACAGCAATATCAGCACGCATGGCAGCAATATATTGCGGACACCAGAACGTTAAATGGAAATGATTACGAAGCTTAGCGTAGCCAAGACGCATCTACAACGGCAATCCGTGCTCCTCTCAGATAGCGAGAACATATGGACTTAAGTCGAACAAGCGCAACCTGAGCTGATCGATTACCGACTTTATTTTTTGCGCGCTGAACAATCAAATTGTCCATCCGAGCTCCGCCGATGTCTGGCACTGGCTAGCGATATCCTCGTAGCTTACCAACTTCTCTCAGACTGTCTCTACTATCTGAATAGAGAAAACTGCTAACGAACCGGCCCGGCTTTCTCGGTCAGTCGCCTGCTATTTTATCTGTGCGGCATGTCTCGGCATTTTTGAAACAAAATCCTTCTAAATTCTGCCACTATCGTAGTTGGCCTCATCCTCTTGCTCTCCTTCCTCATTGGCCAACTTCCCCCTCTTCCCTCCCTCCAGCTTCCCTCATCGTATCTCACTTCTTGTGTAAATTCTCCTTTCGCTTCGGCACCGAAGCCTCGGAGAACTCCCTATATATATACACTATCTGTAGATTCTTCTGCCTAATTTCTGGGTCTCTATGTTTGTGCGCGCAAACTTTTACGCAGACCAGCATGCACACGTGCCCAAAGCAGAGTGGCACGACCAGATATTAGTTGAGACGTCCATATACCAAGCAGCGGTTCTGATCTAAGCGCATAACACAAATACAAAAATGATTCGATGGGAGGAAATTTACCCCGGACACAGTCAACCAATTTCTGCTGCTGCTACTTCTGTTGTTAACGTTGCTGCCGCCGTTTTCAAAGTATGCTGACTGACAACAGACAGCATAATTTGAAATAACCTGTTGTTGTTTTCAAGCCAGAAGTAAGCATGGACGGAAAAATTACTGTGCTTCGATCGACGGTTCGTTCGCTCTTCAGTAACTGACTACATTTTTGTGGCGTGTCATATCAGGGGGACTGACGCGATTCTCTGCAGAGCACTGGGTTTATGGGTCAGTCTAGCGAACAAAAGTGAGTCGATCGAGTGTACGCATACACTGTCATGTAACAAATGTGCGAATGTGGATGATGATCTCTGCTCGTTTTTTCTCTTGGGAACCGACCGGCAAGTTACAAGCTGCATGAGATGTGCGTGTACTGGCTGCTCAGATTGGGCTGGGGTGTTGACCCACGCCGTAATAGCAACAGCCCAAAGGGCGAGATATACTGTGACCTCGGAACGATCCGATTAAAAAGACAGAACTTTTCTTCGCTGCGATAGTCCTAAAAGAGATTTTTGGCTGAGAAATCAATCAATAGATATGTTACCATGATTAAGGAGTGCTACATTGTTTGAAAATAGTCTAGCCAGGTATTGAAATAATATAATTGTTAAAATGCAGTAGATATGGCGTAAAGGCATAACAACTCTAAATGTTCAGGCTCGAATCGTACTATGACTACAAGTAATTATTGTAGAACATCGTGTTTAATCGGGTAAAGTATAATTTGCTTAGGATCAGTGTCTTGTCGAGAAACTACGAGCTCCATTTGATGATTGCGTCATGACATTTTACAGGAGTGATCTCATTTTTCGTTAAGGTCATACTAAATTGCATTATTATCCCGCGGATAATCTAAGCGTGTGGAACACGCGTCCTGTAATAAAGGCTGTTCTGATATGCTTGAATAAAACTCCATCGACACGGCAGGTACTGTGACAACTTTCAAATATCTTACTAACAATCATAATCAATGCAGAGTTGAAAGGCCTGTGCAAAGTTATTGTTGAAGTAATCGTATTCTACTCGATAAGTTTCTATATACCGCGATGCATTTCTAGTTACGGATAGGTTTTTAGCGCGTGTTCCACGTACGAGTGTAACTAAACACGATACGATTTGACTAATTCTTAGATAATTCCTAGTGAAACTTTAAAACCACT